CTAATTTGACACCTTCGTAATGATAGATTTAGCACAGTTATGGTTTGGGTATGAAGTTACAAATTGGATATGAATGCTGGTATTGGTAATGGATGTTATGTCTTTGTATGCCATATTTCTAATGCACCATTAGAATTAGGAATAAGGTTTCATCTGTCTCTGGTGGTTTGAGTTCATGTGCAGGATTCTTCATTTTTGTGTTGTGTTTCTGAAGTTATTCAAGGATGGCTTCAGTAACCTGAAAACTGACTCAAAGTGTTTGATGAACTCAAAATGTAAACAAAGCCAGGAATTAGCTCTTCTCTTGGTTTTGAGTTGATTTAAAAAACAAACAAACAAACAAAAAAAAAACTGTCCTCACAAAGAAAGATTTGGTCATTCCTTGGGCAAGAGGCCTCTAGGGGAAGCCATGGTGCCACAGGCAGTGCTGGCAACATAGCAGGAAGCTGAATGCTCTGAGGGAATGCTGAACCATACACTGGTAGTGCCACTGTGGTATGCTGCGCTGTTTCATTCTTCACATGCAGCATAAAAAGGAAGACTGAGGCCACCAGCTGTTGTGAAGATTTCAGTGCTCTTTCAGAAGAAGGTTTGTCCTAATGTCTTTGCTGAGCAGTAATGGGAGTGTTTGCTTTGCAATAACTTCTCTCAGATCTTCTATTCAAGCTGCTTATATTACTGTTTCACAAATTTTCATGAATGTGGCACAGTGTTATCTGTAGGGCGGTGCTGGTGTTCCTCTGCAGGACTGCCAGCGCACCAATGCCAAATGAAATAGGGGCTATACAAGCAGCTTGGAATGCAATAAAATATATAGCATGTAAATTGAAGTCATCACTAAACCAAAGTTAGATGTAATTTCTCTTAGCTGTGTATCTTCTAGTGCTGTTATAAAGCTCATTTGAAACACCTTCTCTGATTTATTTTTCTTACATGAATATTGATAAATGTATCAGTGCTGTGTGGCACAAGTGAAATCATACTGTGACCTGTGAGTTAAAAAGATAAATCTTTAAGAAACTCCCATTTTAGCCCAGAATTTCCACTAACTAGTGTTTTCAGTCTTGTTTTATTTTCCAGGTCATCTGCTCCATGATGGTATAGCCATCTGGGAGATTAGCATATATATTTTATGAAGCAGAGCAGAGCTCCCTCTTGTACTGACTCAGATGCTGAAGTCCCAGATTCACAGCCTCTTTCCTAGTCAGCACGGCACAGCTTGTACAGCTTCTGTTGCCAGTGGCTTACCTCTCCCCTGCATGAAGAGCAAACCTACATTAAAGCGATGCTGGTAAAGCAGTACTTTTCTAAAGTGAGGGAAAAGCACGGTCCAGTTTTACAGCCATGCACTGAGGCAATTTATAACGATAGAAGAATCAATTCGTCAGTGAAGCTGACATTATTTGAGGAGACATTATCAAATAACTGTCTGCTGGCATTACGCACATCTCCAGATTGCTTTATATGGCTCTATCTGTGGTTATAACTATGGAACACAGTTGACACACATCCTAGGAAATGTATAAAAGCCAAATGCTTCAGTGCCAGGGTAATTTAAGATGCAATATAAATTACCATGGAATGCATAAGGAGTGAGCTATGCTAAGGAGACACACCAAGGACCATCTCCTTAATCTTTTATACCTTCTAAGAGTGCTGGCAGAGATGTGTTTTCATCAAAGCTATTGTTGGAACAACAGTAGTGACATTCTAGTACTACGTTGTAGATACTGGTACTGTTTCTTCCTTCTGGACCTTTTTTGTTTTTTCTTCTGTAGGTTTTTTTTTTTTTTTTTTTTTTTTTTTGCCTATACAGAGCACACAGACAAGGAGTCTGGAGTGCCAAGATTTTGATAACCAGTATAGTTTATAACTATGGACTGGCACATTAGAAAGATGTTGTTATAGAACAGCTAGGTCCAGTTAAGAGAGGGAAAAGTGCTTTCTGTTTCCACTGACACTAGTTTAATAGTGCACACAAATAATCCTCAGAAGATAGGGCAAAAACTGAGATGGTTGTTCTAAATGTACACAAATAATGGAATGCAATCAGCAGGGCAGAGTTTTTGAAGCTAAGGCTAGGGATAGATGGGCCTCTCTTTTCTCCTCTAATAACTTTTGTTTTTTAACACAAAAGCAAGACTAAGCCTGCATTAAAACCCTTGGTCCTAAATTTCCATTGTGAAGGCATTCTGAACTACATTCAGATTATCATCCGTATTTTACAGATTAGTCTCCTTTTTAAACATATTGTGATGAAATCTGTTGCCAAACATTCAGAATCACCGAATGGGGATTCAGATACAGACTTTGAGATTTGAATCTACAGTCTAATTCTCATTGTTCAGATTTGCTTGAATAATAATGGGAATATGTAGAGTCTCCTTAAAAAACACGTAAGAAAACAAACAAACAAACCCCCCCACTGTAGCATCTATGCTGTTCATCAGACAATCGTGCACTATTCCAAAACTTTCTGTATCTCATAAGAGCTAAAATATCATTCACAGACTGCCTGTGCTATTTAATGTTACTTTCTTCTGACTTTTGCCAGTTACTGACATATTAGTTTAACGTTAACTGACTCTTGTGATCAAGATAAATAGATGAACTGCCTTTCCAGTCTGCCCACATATTTACAAGCAGAAACTGCTTTCCGAGATGGCTAGTGAATGATGCCAAGAGAAATCTCTGAGAACGGTAGAAACCCATGAGGGCTCCTGCAGAGCATTTCCCTGGTCACTCTCCCAGCTCCAGGTACTTATTGCTCTGGGTTTCCTACACAAGTGAGACTATTTCTGCAGAAATATATCATGGAAGAAGAAAGAGCACCAGGAGAAAAAAGAAAAAATCAAGATCTATTTTACAAGTTTGCTGCATACCACGATACCAAGGCACTCCACACGAGGGCAGGGCTCTGTCTAGGTTGCTGCAGTAGACAATCTGAGCATGTATAAAGTCAATTTCCTTAGAGTTTTCACCATTAGCAGTGTAACTCTGCTTTAAAGGTTTTGGTGTTCTATTGTAGAAATGCTTCAACCAGCTAAAAGACAGGAGGCCTTTATTTTGCTGTCTCATTAAATTTTTCGTAGGACAATTTTTAAAGAATAATATTCACTTTGGACTGTATTTCCCCATTGTGTGGTTTAAAGAAGCTGTTATTTTCAGTTAATATAACTGGACAGAAAGGTACTGGATGCAGCTGAGGGTGTTTTAAAGAAGGATGTTAACACCACTCCTTCAGATTTCTCCTCAATTATTTATTATTTGAACTTTAAAAATTACAGATACAGCTATTTATTAACCCCTCAGCATCATGAGGAAGGCAAGCTAACCTGATTGTGGATTGAACAGGAGAGGTCTGCCATTCCCCATCTCATCCTGTGCCCTTATATCGTGCTGGCTTTAATGATCACGCTTGCACACAGCCCTAACACGAGTCAGACCAACCTGAAAAGCTGACTGAAATCTCCCTGCCTTTACAGGGTGGCTTAGCTTTCAGATGGCTGAATGAGCTGAAATGACTCTAGAGCCACGCAGTCACTGCTGCTGGAATCAGGAAAGCAGGTCAGGCATGTGACACAGCGCAGGGAAGTCCCTTTCAGCAGCAGTAATGTTGGATAAGCTCAGATTAATGGTGGAAACACTGTTTAGTAACAAACGAACAGTGGAAAGGGTGCACCCTGAGATCCAGCCCCACTGGCAAGAGGGAAATACAGAAGTCCCATGCAGAACACTGAGGAAGTACTGGCTGTCACCTTGTACATTAAAAAACAACAAAAGCTCCAAAACACCACCAAGTGCTTCATTTTAAGTGCAGAATAAAAAAAAAAAAAAAATCATTTAGCAGGTAAGAATTGTGTAATTCTCTTTGCAAAACTCTGAACAGACACTAAGCCCAAGGCCTCATGTGGGAACACATTACACGCAGTTGGGAAAGCAAGCACTTCCAGTCAGGAGGTATTGCACGATGAGACTTTTCACCTGCAGGTTTATCAGTGACACCTGCAATGACATATGAAGAAAAGCTGCCCTTTTTTGTCACTATTACACTTTTACTCATTTTTCACTTGGTGAGCCACCCGCATTAATCTTGCGTGAAGCCCAGGTAACGCCTGCGCTGGCGCACAGCCTGACCACGTGGGGATAAACGAAACCGCAGCCCCTCTTGGCCCGCGTCTGCGCTTCCACGCTGCGCCTGCTACAGCCGACCGTACCGCAGCCCTCGCCGCTCCCCACAGCACGACATGGCGGCGCCCCGCCCGCAGCGCGCTCGTGGCCTCGTGCCGAGCGCAGGCGCAACCCCGCCCAAAACCGCGGCCTCAGCGCCGCACGGAGGGCCCGCGCTGCCATTGGCCAGCGACGCCGCGGCCGGCCCCGCCCTCCAGCTGGCGGCGGGCGAGCGTGGCCCCGCTCACTCACGTCCGCCCTCTTTCGGCCCTCCCCGCGTCGCGCCGCTTTCCCCAGCCAACGAGATGCGGCGGGGCGGGCGGGGCTCGGGGCCCTTAACTGACAATTGCGGCGAGGCCAATGGGAAGCGGCGGCTGACGGGGCGGGGGCCGATGGGGGGGGGACGCCGGTGAGCGCGAGGCTCCGGCGCGAGGGGGTGTGGGCGTGGCCGAGAGGGTTAGAGCCCTCAATCAGGTGAGAGGGAGGCGTTGACGGGCGTGAGCGACGGCCAATCGCGGCGAGGAGCCGGGCCGCCCCTCCTCTCCCGCCGCCGAAGCTGCCAGAGAGTCAGGTGGCTCCGGGATGCGCGGCCGCGGCGGCAGGCGGAGGCGGGCGGGGAGGAGAGGGATGCGGCGGCGGCTCGGCGGCACGCGCCGCCCGCCCTCACCCCTTCCCGCGCTGGGCTGAGGCGGATCCGGGCCGGGCCGCGGCGGCGGCACCCGCTGCCGGGCCGCGCCGGGCCGCATGAACAATAGGCGGCGGTACCGGCCCCGCCGCCCCCCGCAGCGCTCGGCTGCCGCGGGCGCCTCCCCCTATGGAGCAGCCTCGCCATGGAGCCCCTCACAGCGCTCAGCCAGGAGGGCGCGGGCGGCGGGGAGCCGCCGGGCGGCGGACCGCTCTGGACGGCCGTCTTCGAGTACGAGGCGTGCGGCGAGGACGAGCTGAGCCTGCGGCCGGGAGACGTGGTGCAGGTGCTGTCCCGGGACTCGCAGGTGTCCGGCGACGAGGGCTGGTGGACGGGGCAGATCGACCAGCGCGTCGGCATCTTCCCCAGCAACTACGTGAGCAGCGGCGTGCAAGGGGGCGGCCCGGAGCTGCGCGCCCGCTACCCGCCGCCCCCCGCCATACAGCGTAAGGAGCGCGGCAGGGGGGGGGCGCCGCGGATACCGGGGGCCGCGGCTGTGGGGAGCGGCGCGGCGAGGCGAGGCCCGGCCCTCGGCACGGTCGGCCCCGCGAGGGCGGCCCCGGGAGCGGAGCGCGAGGCGGTTCGGCGCTGCGCCGCGCGGGGCTGCCTGGGGGCCTTTCCTGTCGGCAGCCCGGCGGTCTTCTGTCTCCCGGGTTCGGCAGCGCGGGCGCCGCGTTCGCGGTTATCGCCGTTTCCCTTTGTTAAATACCGTGCTTCTGTGGGCTATAAACCTTCACACGGCTGAAGCTTCGTGTGGCCTCCGGTGGCTCCCCTTTAAGAATGTCCTTAAGGAGAGAGACGTTGCTGTGTGGGAAGCGGTTGCTTTCTGCAACGATCCTTCGTTACTCGTTCATTATTTTCCTTGCTCCTAACCAGAAGTCTATTATCTTTTACTCCTATGTTAATTTGTGTTAGCAGGTTCCCGTTTGCCATTTCCCTAGTTACAAACGCTGCTCAATAACAACTCTGAATGAGTTTTATCAGAGTTTGGATATTTGGGCCTACCTGAGAGTTGTGTGGTTAAGGTGTGATGCTGAAAGTATGGAGGGGTTGGTTTGTACCTAATTTCAGAGCAGTTTTGAAGCCTTTGAGCCATTTCATTTTTGCTTATTCTTGCTGCCACGTATAATTGCGGAAAGTGAAACAAGATGGAATGGATGTTATTAAATCTTGTTTCTGTCAGTATTGACAATTCAGGCAAGAATAAAGTTGTGGGTTGGTGGGTTTTTTTTTTTTTTTTTTTTTGGGGGGGGGGGGGGGGGGGGATGATTCTTCATCTTTTCTAGAAAGTAAAAGGGGTGAAGATGCTTTGTCCTATCTGGGACGTATCTCCAAGGAATACAACTAATAGCTGCTTCTTTCTTTTTTTTTTTCCTTATTCCACATCTGCTTGAAAGCATTTAGGTAGAGAGCTCAGTAATTTGTAGAATTACTCTTGGAAATATGAAAAGACTGCTGGGCAGCAGTGGGGCTTGCTTTCATGCTGGAAGAGCGTAGGGTATTTTTTCCCTCATGCAGAAAATGCTGCAAATGCTCAGTAGGTTTTGCCTCGTGATAGCTGGGAAGAACCACTTCTACAGAGATTCTTGAAACCTCAGCTTCTCTCATGCTTTGGGCTGTTTTAGCACAGTCTTTATAACTATGTATTCTCCTGTCCTATTACCCTTTCCGAGGCAAGGTAGTTCAGGAACAGTTGTGGAGTTGCACCATCTCCCTTTATCCTTGTTATCTTACCCTTCTGTTGCCCTAACAGGGCAGCACTGCCTCTTTTCTCAAGTAAGCAACCGTAAGTTCATGATGCAATAGAATTTATTCCCCTGCAGTAAGTTTTTAACGTGCATTCTGGTGGTGGTGTGGTGTTTGTTTTTGTTTGTTTTTTAAGAAACAGTGATTTGGACAGGTGGAAAGGTTGGTTGCTTTTGAACTGGATTTTGAAGCTTGACTTCACAGATCTGCCCTTCACAAGGAGTGATGCTCCCTTTTAGTGTTGGCACTGCTAACTTGAGGGCTATTTGGAGTACTGATCCACTGTTAACTTGCTTAATGGAGTAATTCAGAGTAGTAATTTGTAGCAGTCATGCAGGTCATTCTAGAGATGTGCACCTCAGTGCAGAAGCTATTTTTAGTTGCTTCCTGAAGTTTATCTTCATCTATCGTGAAGGTGTTAGAGTGCAAGGTCTTGAGACATTGCTTCCACTGAGAGTTGTGGTATTGAGTGGCTGCACACTTCCAGCCATCCTGACAGCTCTCAGCGGAGCCTTACCTCGATACCCTAAGCAGAACTACCAAGCATGCTCTCCCTGCATCCCTATGCAGGCTGTCAGCGATGGGTCTATTTGAAGGACCCTCATTTACACTGTGGGCTCTTACGCATGACAGACTCAGCTAAGTGGCTTAATCATATGGTGTAATGAATACCGATTAAACAACGATTACTTTCCAATTGTCAACTTCCCCACCGGGTAATGGCATACAGGCTCTAATTCCTTTTCAGTCCAAGACCAATGATAGCGCTTCTTAAGTTCTCCGGCAATACAACCTGCACCCTGTATGTTCCCATTGTCTCTACAGTTTATTATAGCATGTCTTAAATTAACTCGAGCTTAGAGAAGGGGTTAGTGTGTTCAGAAAGATAAGGGGAAATGAGTCTTTTATGTGCTACTGTAGCAGTACAACCGACTCTGTGAAGTTAAACTAAATCAACACAAAATACTTCTTTAATTAAAAAGCTTGTCTAAAAGTGAGCTTTTTTCCTGATTAAACTACTTTTGAGGATGAGAAGGCCAGTCTGCATTAAAGAAACGTGCACACATTCACGGCAAAGATCGTTCCTGCAAATAAAAGAACTCATTTCAAAATTCCGTGGAGTGTCGTGTCTTAAATTTCACCTGGAAGCGTAGATCTCGCTGGTGTGCCCCAGGCTGCTTCAGCTGTGCGCCCAGCAGGGCGTTACTGTTTGTGTAGGGGTGCAGCTGACGGCGCCCGCGCCGTTCGGCTTCCGTGCGTGGCCTTTTCCTCCCGGCGCGGCCCCGGGGGGAGCTGTCCCTTCAGCACCGCCGCTGTCCGGCCGCGGGCTGGCCGCGCTGCGCTCGCTGCCCGCGAGTCCTGCTGCGGGCTTACGTGTTTGGTTCTTCTCGGACTTGTCATTGACTCCATTGTTCGTGGAACAATAGAGAAAAGAAAACAGGCATTCTTATTATGCGCTATATGCAGTAGTAAAAAATTGTTTTCCTTATTGCTGGCCCTGCATGCTCAGTATGCAGTCTGATCCATCTGTTTGTCACACAATTGTCAGTACTGTCAGAATTGGCAAACAGATCTCTTGGGAAACAAGCCTGCAAAGCTTTTAAAGTGTGGAGGAATAAGCTTGATTTTGGAAGGATTAAAATATTGTTAGTGGCATTTGAATAAAAACTTTCAAATACGGCTGAATTCAAGAGAAGATGTTTGATATTTACATTTAACTCTATAATAGTAAGCGCTGTAGTCACATCAGTGCAGATTAGCATGTGGCTGTCTCTTGTTTTAGTTTTCAAAATATTGCTCTATCAGTGAGGGCAAGAAATTAGGATTTATCCTTAACTGTGTTTCAGCATGTTAAGACGATGATATTTTTAAGTGTATTATACACAGCTGTGAGGTTGAAATCATCACCATTGAGTGACTACTTTATGGAAGTTTTTATAATACTACAAGTTCTTTTTTATTGTACTAGTTCTGTAAGAAATATTATCAGAAGGGACTACTGCTTCCATTTGTGTAATTTTGGGTAGAAAATTGGCCCATCTTATAAGGGTAAGGGTGAGGTTGGGCAATATGGACCTTGAGTAAATATATGGGCTGCATAGTTGCTAAACATTTACATCTTTTTTTTCTTTCTTTTTTTTCCCCTCTTTTCCTAGTCTTGGAGATCGACTTCTCAGAACTTGTTCTGGAGGAAATCATTGGCATAGGGGGCTTCGGAAAAGTATATCGAGCTGTGTGGATAGGAGATGAGGTTGCTGTCAAGGCAGCTCGTTATGACCCTGATGAGGACATCAGCCAGACCATTGAGAATGTCCGCCAAGAAGCCAAGCTCTTTGCAATGTTAAAGCATCCCAACATCATTGCCCTCAGGGGCGTATGTTTGAAGGAACCTAATCTTTGCTTGATCATGGAGTTTGCCCGTGGAGGATCATTAAATAGAGTGTTGTCTGGTAAAAGGATACCTCCTGACATCTTAGTGAACTGGGCAGTACAGATTGCAAAGGGAATGAACTACTTGCACGAGGAAGCAATTGTTCCTATAATTCACCGTGACCTGAAGTCCAGCAACAGTAAGTGCTATACGATTAACAGTAAGGGAGCTGGGATCAATTTTCAGAAAGAAATAGTATATAGGAGAGGGGAATAACTCTAATTTAGGAATCCTTTCTTGTGAACCACTGTATCCTGTAATTTAATCCGAGAGGGGTTTAGTTGTCTACAGTATGGTGCTACAAACCAAAAAAAAAAATGTGAATGCTGTTACTTTGTAGAAGTGACTTAAGTGACTAAAAAACTGTAATTGGAGTATTCTTCTGTAGTAGTTCTCATACGTATGATGTCTTAGTTCTTCTGGCATTTCAATGGATTCTGGTGTGTTGGAAAGTTCTTTTGAGCTTAAACTGTGCACCTTCTTTCTACTTTTTTGAAGGATAAAAATGTCTTTTGGAAAGATTAATACCCTAAAGCTTTTATTTTCTTTGCTATATTTTGCTGTATGTATGAGATATAAGCCTAATTTCCTTACGGGAGATAATCTCTACTAAGTGGGAACTTCTCCCAGTCCCTCACAGAGCTACTGTTGACAGAAGCATTTTTTTTTTTTGGTAGAATTTTTTTTTTTTCCTCCAATTTTCTCCTATTTTCTCCTATTTTTTTTTTTCTCCAAACTTTATTTGAAGTCAAATGCACATACAGAACCATTATTTATGAATGTTAGAGCAAACTGCTGTGGTGGCTTAATGATCATCTCCATCGTGATGTCAGTTTGCAACTGTTTGGCTTTGGCCTTTCTCTGTGCTTATTTCTTGTCTAGATGATAAAAGAAATCAACTATCTGCATGTTAACTGCAGTGATTTAGTTAGATGTGTTAGTAGGAATCCATTTGTATTTATGACTTGAATTAATAAGAAGCACTATGAAATGGGTGAGATGCAGGCGCATGCCCTCCTTTGCTTTGAGGAGAGTAACATCTAGCAGAGAGGTCTGACAGATGGGAATTTTAATATCTTAAATAGTTTGCTAGAGCTGGTGTTAACCATTACGATGCTATAAATTTCAAGTCTGCAGAATCTCCCTAGGTTTTTTTGGTTTTTAATCTTTTTTTTCCTTTAGAGCTAACTATGTATGTTTACTGCCACAAGTATTAACTTTTATTGCTGAGTATGAAAATAGAAACTAGGAATTTTCAAATTTATTTCTGTATTATGCTACTAGAGTTTCCCTTTTTTCTTGGACAATCAAAGCAATCTTAACATCTAAACTTCTTCCCTTTCAAGTGGCAATACGTATTGGCATATTAATAAAGTGAGAAGAAAGATTGAGTGGTTGTGTTAATTAAGGAAAGGCTGGCTTCATCTGTGAAAAAGAAATAATTAAGAGTTGCTTACCTAAGCAAATACTGTCTTATTTCACTAGCAGGCTGTTAAGACTTGATTGCTTAGTGTCTGAACATTTTTGAGGCTTAGAAGGAAAGCTAATTCTAAAATAAATGGCTGTTACGTCCTGGCTTTTCACTGTTTCGTTCAGACTAGAGACTGCTAGTTGTGAAAGGAAAATGTACCAGTGCAATGAGAGGTGCTCGGGCACACAGGATTGCCAATGAAACTCAGATATGGGTGTTAGAAAGCATCTGTTCTGGCAGCAAAAAAAAAAAAAAAAAAAAGTCTCTTGTCACAATGATTCAGCAGTACATAATTTGTGCTGCACTGTAAATCTTCAGTGAGAAGTGAAAGGTTCTGCTAAATAAATTGCTAGATTTTCCTCATTTGGGAAGAAACAATTGGAAGGGAATAATAAATGAGAATGCCTGTTGAATAATTCCAGGGTGTTTGGAGCAGAGCGGTGGAGAATTTCTAATTATTATTGGATCACCATGTATATATTGTTTGTGTTTTGTGTGGTTTTCTGATGTATCTAACTTTCCTATTGCTGTGGATAGTTGAGAATGAATTAAGTTATCAGCTTTATGGCTGAGGAATTACAAGCTTGTTGCTTTTTTTTTTTTTTTTTTTTTTTTTTTTTTTGTACAAGTTTTCACCCACCAACTGGATAGAAAGTAATGCATCTCTGCAGAAGGAACAGCTTCTGCTCGCCAGATCTTGGAAAGGATTCTTGCAGGCAACTTCTGCCATGTACTGAACATCTACCAGTACTCCAGAGCTGCCATGAGAGCATCAGCTGTATTGGTCTACTGATTTGTACTGCCTAGCTTTAGTAATAACTACTTGTACAATTCTTCTACATCTTGTCTTCAAGAACCACCTGTTATCTTGGACTTGTGTTGACTGTCTGAAGCTGCAGGAGTCATCAATATGAGAGTTGGGGAGTGAGAAGGAACAGTTGGCTTATTTAAAGTCAGATTTCCTGCTGGAGTAGTAGAAGATCAGATAGTGCTTTGCTCTCAGATGCCTGCCTATGTTCAGGCAGATGCAGGCTGCATAAGAACAATACTTCATGCCGAACCTTCTAAAAATAGTCATATTACATTTGAAACTATGAAATTAGTCAGATGAACACCTTAATGCAAGTCTGAGAAATTACCCAATTACATACCAGGATTTGAAAATATCCTTTTTAATCTGAGATATTGCAGTTTTATCTGGAATCAACTCGTAGGTACCTCAACAGTGTTTTCAACATTTTGGATGACGTAGTAAAGAATAGGGTTTCATTGCTCTAGGAGGTAACTCCATTTGGTATGGAGACTGAAACTTGTGAGATTATTTGGGGATTCTGAGAGGTGTAGTTCCTTGAGATTTTCTCAGTCAAAAAACACTCTGTCACAATTTTCTGTTTTCCTTTTAATTAAAAACTTAAACATCTTATTTTTGTTCCACCATTTTTCTTAATTTATTTGACATTTTTGTTATCTTACATTTTTTTTTTTAATTAATTCTAATGCAGTTACAGTGTAGAAAGCATCCTGTAAGCTTTAGAAGCAGCGTTCATTTCAGTTAGAATTTTAATCTTTGGAGGTGAGGGTCTGAGCTGCCTGTTCTCGTTGCTGGATGTTATCAGGAAATGGGCGGATAAAATCTTTACAGAACAGATTGCACACCTGCGACTTATTTTTAGAGATCTGAAATTCTTTTGCTGAATGTCAGTTTGCAGCGAGTCTGGGAGGTGAGTGTTCCGCTGGAATTACCGTCTCCCATGTTAGCTGTCTAACTACAGAATAGAAAGAGGATAACCCAGGGAAGCTGTTCAGTTCTGTTGTGAGGGGATGAATCTTGCATTTGGTTCAAGAGACTCAGTTCTTTTTATATAAGAAATTAATCTTTTTTTTTAATGTGTTGACAGAATCATCTGATTCTTTCCTCTTTTCATCTGGTGGTACTGTTAACCTTTGCCTCGTCTCCTGCATGTCAGTGCTCCACTGAGCATCTGCTACAGAATTGTTAGTAGGCCTCTCCCACTGTGGAGGCTTCTAAATCATGGGAATATGGAGCTACAGGAGGAAAAGAAAAAAAAAGCAGTAGGAAATGCCCACTGAAGGAAACATCATCTGATTGGAGTCTTGTTTTTGGCCGTGGGAAGACATTCGGTCAGTAATGCTGAAGATCAAAAAGGGCAGTCCTGCTGGTTTCAGTGAAGTACTGTAAATAATCAAGCTGTTTCAATTTGTCTGCCAGCACTAGATATGCCAGCATTGTTAGAGGAATAATGCCCATTAACTAATGCTGCAGAGAACTAGCAAAAGTATATTTGCTCCTTTTTTTTAGCTGGCTCAGCAAAACATGGTTGTTCTTTGCACAGCACTAAGATTTTGCTGAGGGTATTCATGCTACTTAGCAAAATGCTTTATAAAAGCTGCTATTCGCGTTCCACAGAGTGGCACGGATTAGCAGGGAAGTGATATGTCCAAGGTCAAAGAAAGAGGTAAGGACAGAGCTCAAAATAAAGCCCAGTAGTTCTGATTCATTCAAGTCGGTAGTTCTTTCCTTCTTGTTCTTTGGAGGTGTTCACCTCACCACCTACTAAGAGGACCAAGGTAAGTCTGTGGTATCCTGAGAATTAAAACTAGCTTTCTGAAAATCTCCTGAGTCTGCTATAGCTTTGATTATTAGTTTTATGCAGTTAAGCCTTTTTCAGTTCATAAAAACACTAATAGAGCTGAATGATGGTCTATAAACAGTTTTTCCTAGAAATTAAAATGTTCTTTGTTCTTTATTTTTTTAAACTGTGGCCAGAAGCAAGGATGGTTTGCAACTAGTTTGAGTCCAATCTCAGGATGCCATGATTTGAATATTACATAGCAGTGCTGCTGACATGTGGTTAGTTATCCCATTTCTTGTTGCAGTACTGGATCCCAATCCATTTGTAAATGACATTCTTCCTGTTGGTCCATTCTGAGAAGGAAAAATGGTTAATGTAAACCTCTTGCTCTATCTGATGGCATCACAGAGGAAAGTTTTCTCAGGGTCTGGTTAATGTACGTTGGCAGAGCAGTTTGCAAGTCTGCACTGCTATTACTGCTTCTTGCACTTCAATGTAATTTGCTGAGTAATTCTCCAGTGTTGTACTTTCTACCCAAATGGATTTCCTTTGTCAGTGCTATGAAATGAATGTGAGTAATGCTTCATATAAAGGATAGTGAAAGTATTTTAAGGACATCTGAGTATTTTAGGCTGGGTGGATTATTGATTTAGCCTCAGTTAGTTGGTCTTTCTCCTGTGAGAGGAAAGTGAAATGAAAGTAATTTTTTTTTTGACAGAAGCTATGTGATTAATTTGGATTAAAATAGTCCATATAGTAAAATCAAGTCTTTTATACTGCCTGAGTACACTCTTGGAGGTGATTAAAGATGGCTTTTGAGGTTTGTAGTGGAAATGCTAAGTCATGGCTTGAATCAGTGATTGAGCACCTGGTAGGAAGGCAGGGCCAACCTTGGGGAGCTCAGGTGCATGCAGTGCAGCCAAATGACCAGAAGGGGTGGAGCTAGGATCCTCTCCTTCCCATTCCTCATATAAGTGCTGGCAGTGGAGGTGAGGGTATCTTGCTGCAGATCTCTGCGTACCTGGGGCCTTCTGAAGGTAAGCGGCTTCTTTCCTTTTTTTCTGTGCCTATGGC